AGTCTGGCCCTGGATGTGTGCTTTTCGATTGATGGATGACTGCCGGGTGGGAGCGAGCGTGCGGGTGTGAGTGTGTGATTGTGCGTGTGTGTGTGTGTGTGTGTGTGTGTGTGTGTGTGCGCAGGGTGCGTGCGCGCGCGGGGCCTGCCCATTTTCCTCCTCGCAGCAGTCAGTTGGGAGCTGGAGGGAGGGAGAGAGGGAGACAGACGCAGCCAGCGAGAAACCGGAGAGGAGCCGAGCGCCCTCCGCCCGAGGCGCCCTCCCTCGGTCCGCACACAGGAGCCGTCGCTTGGAGGAGCAAGGTGCCTCCCAGCCCGCAAGGGCATCGCGTACGAGCCCGCGGTCTCCTCGGTGGCGCTGCCCCGGGACCGCACCTGGAGGCCGCCCCGGACGGGGATGGTAAGCGGCTGCCGCCGTCTGACAGACCAGCGGGACGCGGTGAGGGCACCATGGCGCTGACGCCCGGGAGGGGGCCCTCGGCGGGGCTCGTCCGACCCGAGCTCTGGCTGCTGCTGTGGGCAGCCGCGTGGCGCCTGGGTGCCACCGCGTGCCCCGCCCTCTGCACCTGCACCGGCACCACGGTGGACTGCCACGGCACGGGGCTGCAGGCCATCCCAAAGAACATCCCACGGAACACGGAGCGCCTGTGAGTACGGCCCCCATCCCCAGCGCTCAGGGAGCCCCGCGGTTACCCTCCCACCAAGACGAGTTCAGGGCTGGGGTGGGGCAGCACTGTTGGGGCCCGGGCTCTGTGGCCAATAGACGGGTCAGTGCCTGCCGCGGTCCTTCTTGAGCCAGGAGCCAGCAGCACCCGGGTTTCCCTTTCCCGGGATTCAAAGGGCCCTGGCGGGGCTGTCAGCTCCCATCCTCACCCCTGCACCCTGCCCTTAGCCCTGGCAGGCCATTCCCACTGCGCTAGCACTTGATTCCTACAGGGTGCCTGTGACTTGGTGCCAGCAAGCCTTCCTGGCACTCAGGGGGGAAGCTCCTCGCACTGCCAGGCACCATGTCTTCTTTTGGGCACATGGGGCTTGGGCTGTGGTCTGAGCTGCATGTGTGGACTGGGCTCTGTGGGCTAGCAGGCAGGTGATGGGCCGCAAGATGGGATGGAGTTGAAGTTTCCAGTCTTCCCCTGCCTCCCCATTGTTTGCCCCAGAGCCTTAAGAATTCTTCTCTTGCAGGTGTCAGGCATTGGTCCCCCCCACCTCACATCCAGCCATCCCTAACCGAGGCAGACAATGGGACGTGAGGGATTTGGGTTTGGGGCCTGGGGTATATTACATCGACACCCAGAAAAGGGTAGGTGTGATAATGCTGAGGGGTCGGGAGCCTGGAGTGGAGACATGGACCATGAAGTCATTTAAAAATAATTCATCTTCCCCTGTTGTCTCTTACTTCTAAATTCTTGAGAAAACTCAGCCCTTTCTAGATGGGCTGAGCTTTGTAGGGTGTGTGTGTGTGTGTGTGTGTGTGTGTGTGTGTGTGTATGGATCTATATAATTTGTTTCTCCAGATTCTCCTGCAGAATGTGTGTCTGTGTGAATTCCTAGTATCCGTGGTGTCACCTCAGTAGTGGGAGGTTGTGAGAGTCCCTGTACATAGGCCATGCGTGTAGATTTTTGGTCACATGCAGGGTCTTTGTGCTGCCTGCAGAGGTGACTGCTTTGGGAGATTATTGAACTGGACTTTGGAGAAGGCTGCCAGCTCCTTTGAAACTTGCCTGCCCCTTCTCCCCACACTCCTGGGCAACTGCAATGGCTCTCAGGAAAGGCATACATATCTCGATAACTTGAGCGCATTTTCACAGCTCCCAGCTGGCCAAAGGCAGAAATCTGACCCTGGGGAGAGCTATCTCCTGGATCAAACTCTGTACCAAGGTCAGCAATTAGTGAACACACGTTTGCCCCAGACTCTTCTTGGCTGAGTCTGAAAAATTCCCATGGAGGTTTCAGAGAATTTGCAATCTAGATGCAATCTAGATGGGAATTGGTGTGTGTGTGTGTGTGTGTGTGTGTGTGTACATGTGTGTTGTGGGGCTGCGGAGAGATGCTGGCATGGGGAGAGGTTGGACAGAATCAGGTTTCCTTGGGGCAGCCTGTGCATTACCCTGTGTGGCTATGGAGAGGGACTGAGGGTCAGGAATCTGCCCAGAGGACCCCTGAGGTTGTAGGGTCGCCCTCCACACCTGTTTGTCCTGGACCTATTCTCTGTTCCTTTGCTGCATCCACAGGGCATTTTTCTTGCAGCTGTTATGCTGATGACAGCCTAGGTCTGTGACACGGTAGCCCATTGCCTTAGCTTTTGGACCTGAATGCTGAAGTCATCTCATTCCTTGCTCTTTCTCTCCACCTTTAGTCTTGAGGACAGTGTCAGTTTTGGCGTTCAGTTCTCTTGAACGCTTTTGCTATCAGGGTGGAATGGAAGTGAAATTTCCTAATGCAAAAGAGAGTTGGGCCTTCAACTGCTGAGGTTGCTGTGTGACCTTGGGCAAGTTACTTAACTTCTCTGAGCCTTTGTTACTTTCCATCCAGAAAATGGGGCTGCTGATGGTTTTTGTGAGGACCGAAGATCATATATGGAAAGGATCCTGGTTCATTATGTTTACTAAGTGAGAGGTATTATTGTGATAGGATCAGGAGAAAAGTCTCTATTTAATTCAGCAAATGTGTAACAGAGCCAGGAACTACCCTCGGTGCTGAGGCTCCAGCAGGGAGTGGGCAAGTCCCTGCCTTCAAGAGATATACAGGCGAGAGGACCAGGCAGGGGACACATAACTGGAAGCTCTTGGGAGAGGGCCAGGCTGGCAGTGTGATGGGGCTGTGGTGGGGAGCATTGGGGTGGGAAGCACTCTTCTGGAGGGAAGGGGCTTCTCAGAGGATGGGCCATTTTATTAGCATACTTTGGGACCCAATAGTGGCTGGGTCGGAGTATGCCAAGCAGAGATGGCAGGCAGCCCAAATAGAGGGAACGTTCGGGCAAAAGGCCCGCAGGTGTGCATGTGCCAGCCTGATGGCTGAGTGGACTGGCTTTGTCCCGGGGCTGCAGCGTGTCACATCCAGTGGGATGTGACAGGGCTTGAGGTTGGGAAGGTGAGGAAGAGTCAGGAAGTCCTCTCTCTCTCTCTCTCTCTCTGGATTTTTCCTTTGGGGACTTCAGGGATGGAATCCAGGGGTGACTTACCAGGGGGAAGCCGGGGGAAGTCTGGTCTTTGCTGAGTGCAAAACTTCTCAGGCGGTGAAAGCCTGTGCAGCAGGCAGGCCTCTGAAGAGCCATTTGAAGAGGAATAGAACACCCTGAAAAGAGGCCTTGGTGAGCGCCCCGGCAGACCCAAAATAGCTGTAGCAAACGCCCTGTCTAATCGATAGGGGTGTCGTGCAGTGTCAGAGCCTGAGACAGTGGCTTCTGCGGCTGTGAAATTGGGAAAGAGTGCAGCTGTGCCTTCGCCTTTTGTCTTCTGGGCAGTTTCTATGGCAGCTCATGAGACCTGGCAACTTTATGATCACATATCCCGTAACTCTGGGTCCAGGCCTGTCCCCCCAAGTGGGAAGGGATTGGTTTGCTGTGGAGACTTCTGGGAAAGGGCCATGCAGACTCCAGAGCTGTTGAGGAGATTGGTTCAGCCAGAGGGGATGTGGGGCTGGCGGGCTGCGTGAGGCAGGGACGCTGAATAATTCGCTGCAATGGAACAATTAAAATACGGAGTGAGGGTTAGGGGTGTGGTGGAGGAGGCCTGGAAGCTTCATCTCTTTGTAGAACTCAGGCTCAGAGGGACCTAACCACGGCCGCTATTAATTGTCTTTTCTTCTACTCAACGACTTTGATTTTCAGTTGGAGTTTTTAAAAATTAAAACAGTCTTTTAGACTAGATTGTCCAGGAGAGTGTGATAAGAGGGTGTAATATGCGGGGACACCGCTTCTCCCACCCACCCCAGGCACTTGTATTCTAGATTTGTCACAGATTGCCCTCGTGGGTGCAGGGTGCAGAGACAGGAGAGGCCTGAGGATGCTAAGGCTGGGAAAGGCCCTGGGGGAGGCCCATTGGTCTCCGTTCACACCTCAGGCCCAGCATGATCTGCTGTTTGTTAGGTTCTGGGGGCCTGTTCTCTTGCATCGTGGCCACTTTGTCCACTGCCCTAGCTCGCCTGCCTGCTGCAGAGGCCTGGAGGGCCCTTGCCTTTTCCTGGTCTGGCCCCCTGAATCTGGAGGCCCCATTCAATGGGGCTGGGTGGGCATGCCCAAGGAAGACTTCCCAGGACAGCCAGGAGCCTGTTTGGAATTCCAAATGACGATTGGGTGGTGGTCATGGAGAGGGGTCAGGGGGCCAGACCGCAGCCATGTCTGTACTGTGGTCTCCTGCAGCGGAGACCTGCATTGTGCAGGGGAGGCTGCCTCTAAGTGGGGATGGCGGCTCCAGTAGCAGGTGCTCTGGGCTTATTGCTGGGCTCTGCATGACCGGTGGCAGGCCCTTGGTGCTGTCACTCCATCTGCTCTGAGACCCAGTTTCCCCATCTGTAAAAGGGACGATGATGACAGCTTTGCAGGTTGATGGTGAGGATTAAGTGAGCGAATGCACGTAGAGGGCCTGGTAGTGTGCTTGGCACAGGGCTGTGTGAAAATGCTTTGTGATTTAACTGGGTGATGTTATTATTATTATTTGAGAAGCTCAAGCAAAGGTTTGAGGATTCCGGTGGGGCAGGAGAGAGCTTGGGAGGTAAGCACGTGAGTGTTGGTGGTGCTGCAAGGGACTCTTCTGGAGTCTGGCTGTCCAGAGTGCTCCTTCCTTGGACCTGGGCAGCTTTGTCTCCTGCAGTTTGCAGGAGGGAGCAGGGTGGTGGCCTGCAGGGATTCTCTGCAGGGTAGATGGCATGAGGACATGGCTCTGGAGCCAGACTGCCTGGGATTTTAGCCCCATTCTGCCACTCAACAGCTGGGGGGACCTTGGACAAGTTATGGGGCTTAATTAATTCATTCAACAGATAGCTGTCTATCGAGTGTCTGCATCGTGCTGAGTGAATAGTGCCGGACAGAACACCAAACCACCTGTCTCTCCCTGAGTTTTAGCCCAGTAAGGGAGGTAGAGATGAATGGCACAATATGAGAATAAACACATAATGGCAAACTGGGGTAAGTACTCTGGAGAAGACGTGACTCCTCAGCACCCCGTTTCCTTGCCTACAAAGTGGGGACGATAGCAGACATGCTTGCGAGGCTGGTTGTGAGGATTTAAATGCGACAGTGCTGGGAGTGGCACTTTGCACAGGGCCTAGCACACAGCAAGTGCCCCATAAATGGTAGTATTACTATTGTTATTAAGGTGACAGAATTGCAAGGACATGAAAGCAACTGGGGCACCACTCATTTCTGGGTCCCAGCACGGCCCCGCTCCCTCTTCCCTCACCGCGTAGCCACTGGTATTCTGGATGCCCCCGAGAACACTGCCCCTGCCTCCGTGCCCCTCTCGGAGGCAGGGGGCTGGTCCTCGGTGGTCCTGGCTGCCTGGGGCTGTGAGCAGGGGACAGCCGTGCTCTCTGGGGCCGGGTGAAGGGTGGCAGGGACGGGAGGCTCCTGCATTATTGGAAGCAGACAGGAGCTTGGCCTCCAGTCCTGTGCCGGCATTAGCAGCTCGGCAGGGCTCTTGCTTAATGG